AAATATTTTGAATTGAATTCTCAAGAGCTTGAATTCGTCTGTTATTATGAGGGAAGTCATTAGTCTATGGAAAAAAAATATTCATACATAGTGACTAGGTAAAATGTGGATGGTGGGTCTAAGGCCAATGCGTGATTATTACATTCATTTCGTGTGTATATGCAAAGAATAAGAGTTAGGCCTATTATATAAAGAAACCATTAGATAAATAAACATTATTACAACACTCGTAGTGATACAATATTCGAAAAATAATCCGTCCCTATTATAGAAAATCAGTCGTCTCCTATTTTGAAAATGAAACTTTATTCAAGTTACTATAAATTAAGGGATTAATCTAATCCATTATCAGACCAAATAAGAAGTTAATGGTACATCCCCGAATGATTTAATTTAAGTAGAAATACTGGGTTTAAAAGAGATAATTTATGATACGAAGAATAACTGGGTTTCGATGAATCTCTAGAGCTAAGATAGTTGGGGAGACTTTCATTTCGTATTAAAGAGCATGGAGAAGAGATCCGTAGATTGATCGCACCAGAAGACGCCGGTTGAATCCCGTTGTACTGCAGCCGTTTGGCTTTAATACGAAGTTCTGGTTGGCGCATTCCACGAGACATTCTCCCTCGTTTTTAGTGGAAACGGGCTTAGCTTCCGCCCATCATATGATGGATAACATCAGAGCTAAAACTCATTCATGTAAGTCTCACCTTAACACTAGGTCAGGAAGACTATCCGGCTCTATCTTACCTCTCATATATACTCATAACCAAAAGGTAAAATTAACAGGCATAAGTAACTATAGGATGGTTAGGCTAATTATATTTCATACTGGTCCTGCTACATTTGCTCGAGTATGCGTGTGAATGTCTATACGCAATACCGGTCCTAAAGCAGAGTGATCAAAAGAGGCTAATGTCAGGCTCTGGCCATCAAGGATTAATGGTCCAAGAAAAAATCCTAATCAAGATTGCGTAAGCAAGTATAGTTGAGATAGTAAGATGTAAGCTTGAAAGTGTGTAATCAAGTTACGAAACCGCATGATGGCAAAATCAGGACATGAGAAAAGTTTGGAACGGCTGACAAATTAAGTCCTGGAAAACACTTATCCATTGGGCCTAATAGTTGGTAAAATCTGATTACTAAGGAATAAATTTTCAGACGGCCACCATTTAGTCAAAAATAGAAAAAAGTACAACTTTTCACATGTCCTGATTTTCCTGTCATGCCTTCTTTCAAAAAAGATTAGAGAGAATTAGAGATAAAGTGGGGGATAAAAACAATGCTTAAAGAAACCCACAAACTTTCTTCGGTTATGACATCTTTTAGAGATAAATATGACCCATTATCGAGATCCAGATGCTACAAGATTGTGTGCTCCTTATGTCGGTGAAACATGCAGACACAATCGACAAAGAATAAGGGAACTAAAATGCTTGTAAAGGAAGGTGGGTCCAACGATCAAAAGTGGCCGAACACATGATATAGACTGGACATGGGATAGAATGGCCTCAAGATAGTAGGCTTTCTGATCATGGTATGTCTGCGGTTAAAAGGAAGATAAGAGAGACTATTGAAATTAATAGATTAAGGAATACGTTAAATATGATGAACGCTGGTAGAAAGTTTACAAAGAACTACTTATGCTTGAGTGATAGATTGAAAGAGAGAGAGTGTGTCGAGCCGCCATCCAAAAGAAGGCGATTCAACTGGTATGCTCAATGATGGTTCTCACATCACTCACACTCGTCAAACATGTTAGATTAAGCTCATCAACCAAACTAGACGTGCCAGATTAGCAGCCCCAGTCATGCCTTTCCTTAGGTGGTTAAACATTAGTGACCATAGACTGAAGGGTTAGGACAACTGGTTTCGTAACACGCTTTCAAGCTTAAATCTCATTATCTGAACCATGCTTGTTTACGGACTTACGCTATCTCAGTTAAGGTTTTCTCTTAGGTTATTAAGCCTTGATGGCCAGAGCCTGACACTAACCTTTTTTGATCACTCTGATTTAGGACCAGTATTGCGTATAGACGTTGATACACACACACACACACACGAGCAGAAGTAGCAGGATTAGTATGAAAGATAATTAACCAAACCATTCTATATTTATATATGTCTGTTCATTTACGCCTTGGTCTACGAGTATATATATATATATGAGGTAAGATAGAGCCAAATTGTCTTTCTGACCTAGTATTAACGTGAGACTCTTACAAGAAAGAGTTTTAGCTATATTAATGTCCACCGTATGATGGTTGAAGGCTAAGCCCGTTTCCAAGCAAAACGAGGGAGGATGTCTCGTGATATGCGTCAACCAGAATGTCATATTAAAGCCAAACGGCTGCAGTACAATGGGACTCAGCCGTCGTCTTCTGTTGCGATCAACCTACGGATCTCTTCTCCATGCACTTTTATATGAGATGAAAGTCTCCCCAACGAAGTTAATTTGTGGCATGTTAACTGGATTGCTCTTGCATTTATTAAAATCAGCAAGTGGCCGGATGTACAAAAATAGATATTAGAAGGTTCACAGATATTAAATAGGCATAAGAATTCAAAAAATGGGTATGACTAGATAAAAATATCACGTATGTGTTTTTCTTGTGTCATTATA